GGAGACAATTCACAGGTGGGGAGAAGCCAACAAAGTGACCTCTCGAACCTTTAACCTTTTAATGAAGCTTTTATTACTGACAACCACGTTCACTTTGGATTGTTTTGAGCTTCTCTTTGTACTCAGTTTTGATTTTGTTTTTTTGTTTTTTTTCGCTACTAAATTTTCTTTTCTGTCTTATCATATACATTCTGTGTTTGGTAAAGATTTGTGTTTGTTCAATCCAAGATTTGCTTTCATCAGGAAGAAATCCTTATCACAAACTGGGTGATAATATATTTAATGTTAGAGATTACTCATGAACAAAAACAATAAAAGACCCAACCAGTATGTTTGAACAAAATGTTTCTAAATTTATCTAGGTCAGTCTATGACGTGTACTTCTAGGGAGATTCAATTGTTATAATTTTTTTATGATGGTAAAAAAAAACTGATCAGCTCTGAAAAAGAAAAAAAATGTTTCATTACAGATTTCTTCTGCCTTTACTTTGTTAGACCTAAGAGTTTCAGATCATTATGTAAATCAGACGAAGATAACCTGATCAAAATCCTGTTTTTAAAATATGATTGTATTTATTATGGGGGGGAAATATCTAAAAAGATATCTAGGGAATAGGCAAAAAGTAATCGGCAGACATATTTTGAAAATGTCTTGCTATGTCACAGATTTTGTGCCATACACTATAACAACTTTCTCCACACCTTTACATTTGTGACTGTAGGACAACTTGCTCTAAAATAACTTTTTTCTTGTAATTCTTAGCAACAGAGATGTTCTGAGATTTTATTTTTAAATTCCGTTACCACCTTCGCTATGCTTGATAGCCAGATTGACAGTGACAGTGAAGTAGAAAAGCAGGCAAATAAATGAATAGCACATGCTGCATCATACAAGGAAGCGCTATGCAACCATCTGATGGCTTTTGGGGCAGGGAACTTAAAGAAACGGTACCGCAAATGCAAGATTTCAAGCAAAAAGTTGAGTACATTATTGTTATTAATGGAAACTAATCCAAGGAGAATTTCTGAATAAGATTAACAGCATATTCCAATTAGCTAGTGTTTACCAAAACCTACTTGAGAAATGTAATAGTGCGCTATAGATGTCTACCTGAACAACTACAGAAATGCAACAAGTCTTCTATTTATACTGTCCTTTCATGAAGCTTTTTTAGGCCTTGTTATTCCTTAAGGCTGAGTAACTAGTAGATTGAGCAGAAAAAAGACTATCCTGTTATCTACACTGTCCCACAATGCATTCTGACTATGAGCTGTCTGCTTAGCCTGTGGCTGTCTGGCACACTGACCCCCATAAGTGAGTGTATTGTGTCTACATGTGTGTGTGTGTGAATTGCTTTGCCTTGACAATGTGTGCGTGCGTGTGCGTGTGTGTGTGTGCCATCCCTCCTCTACCCTAACATCAACTCATGCCTTGGTCGCTATAAATAATTCATTGGCCATTTGAGGCCCCTGGAGCAGAAGAGCACTTGTGAGACCCTTTAGTGATGGCCTTTAGTTACTCCTTACAAATACCCACTTAAGCAGTCCTCACACACAAGAATACGCTCCTCTCAAAACACAGCAAAGCTGCCACTTTAACTGTCACAGCGGATCAATAGGACGCCTAAACTCGACATTATCCTCTTATGTCAAAGCTGAGATTTTTCTTTGCCTTTTGACAGCTGACAACACAACGTAGAGGAGCTGATGTTTTATCCTACACAGCTGTTTGTCGCTTGACTTATGTTTGCCAAGGAACCTAAAGGTAAAGGAGAAGATGTGCAGAAGATTGCAAAAATGCCTGGATTTAGCAAAGCACGGGGAATTTTTGCGCCATTCTGTTGTGTGCCATTAGAGTAGAGAGAAAGAGGGGGGTGAGGGAGCTAAGGTGTTGGGGGGGGTCAGACTAGCATCTTGACTCCTGAGGAGAGGAAGGGAAATGTCCAGTAGCACCTGCCTCATTATCGTCTGCCCCCCCTTGGTCTGACGTAACCCTGGTAACCCTGAAGAATATACATTATCTGCGGGCCATACCTATGGGCCGTGCGAACACATTTGTACAAGTTTTTGACGATTAACTAATTCAGAAGTGAGCTTCATTATTCTCCCCTCTTAATTGAGATAACAATGCAAATTCCCTTCATTAACTGTGACATGGACAATTTCTCGCGGGCTCCGCAGGGACACCATTATATTCAGAGCCCACAGAGCAGGTTGCAAGGTGTCATCAGATATTCAAATGGCGTGCTTGTTTAATTGCAGTAAATGTAGCATGTCCGGACGGCTCAGTGGAGGACATTTAAAGTGCGTGCCTGTTCCTCTGTTGCTGTTGGCTTTTCAGGTGCGCATAAGCGCGTCACTGTTTGGTAATAGAGGCATTTGAGAAGTAGTTAAGATAGGAGTCAGTTCAAGGTGCGAACGCGTCTGTATGCGTGAAGGTGTAGGGCCGATCCCCCGCTTGAGGCAGCTGCTTTCAGGCCCTCGTGCGATCCCGTGGGGCTCCTGAGGGAGTGTGTTGTTGGACTCTTGTCTTTTATGGCAGCAGCAGTAAACATGACAGGCTGTTTGGAGACCATCTGTTTCCAATGGCTGCCGCATGGTAACAGGGAGCTCAACCTGAGATCTGCTCGGTGTCTGTCTCGGAGGTAACAGTCCCGTCTTTGGGCTTTTACAAGGGAATTCTGACAGGCAGAGGGATGGCACGCAAATGAGACAGAATGAAAATATGAAGGGCCCCAATGAGCTGAACTTGCCATCTGCATGTGCTGCCCAGCATCTTACGGCACCCAAAGGACCTACAGGTACGACGCCTTCTGATTTGGCCTTGTTGTGTGACCTCCTAAAACATCATATTGGGGTGACATAGAAGGTTCTAAAATTGTGTTTCTAGTACCCTGCTAGAGATGTCAATGGGCAATTTGATGGTACATTTAACACAAGATGCTCTTTATTTTGTTGAGACAGCAACTGAAATATTGAAGAGGTCAAAGTTCCATATTAAATAACCAGTTAGCGGGTGTAACTGGTACTCAAACTCTGACAATGACAAACTCAGCGGTACTGACAAGAAGTGTTGGTATACACACTTCTGAATTGTTCAAGCTCACTGAGCTCTTCTTCAAACAGAAAACACTCAAACTAAAATTGCAGTGGAAAACATTTATAAATCTCAAAATAAACAGTTGTAAAAATAACAAACAGCCATATTCCACTAGCAAGTCAGAAAAACCAGTGAGCTAATGACAATCAGCAACAAGATAATATCAACGTTTTTGTCTTTACCATTTACTACGAAGCAACATATTCGCTAAGCGTGTGTTTGCGAGCTTTAACATAACGCAAAACCTCAGAAGCACATAGAAACAATTCAGTACCACTAACTATCACTGCATTTTAAACAATCAGCAGCCTTGTTGAATTTTGAGGGTGGGGCTTTTGACATCTTCACCGTTCTCTAAACTCAGATCACTCTGACTGTTGTTTACCCGGTGAAGGCCAAGACACGCCGGATACGCTTTGACATTCGACCCAACTAGAAGACGTTAAAGTTAACGTGGCCTTGCGGATCGCTAACGATTGCATGCGAATGAATCTCCAACTATCTGGTCTGTCTATCTAGATAGACCAAGATAGATCAAACGTAGCTGGTTGGAACTACTCAGCAATGTGAGCAAAAAATGAGCCACAGTGGCAAAGTAAAACTTTGGAGGAAAATTCAAACTAAAAAGAAAGGGCAATCTTTTTTGAGCAGCAGCCGCGGCTTTGAGTTTACTCCCTGACCGGCACAAGGGGTACATATTTCATACATACTCGCAAATCTGATGCTTCAGACCATCAAGTCAGAGTCTGTATGTCAGGAAAAAAATTGGATCAGACTATGAAGAGTCAGTATCTTGGCCTTGAAACACTATTCTCTAAGATGCACAACAGAACCCCGAAAATTACAAGAACCCATTAACCAGATAATTTCTAAAGTGTTGCTCATTTCACTCAAACGTGAGTATATCCGCTGTACAAGCACACACTGAAACACCTGACGTCATTATGCTCCCACAGTATTGAGGAAAGATTTCACAGAGTGTGACAGACTGAGTCAAGTTCTTCTGATGCTCTCTGCCAACAAACACCACTGCTTCGAGTGCGCATTTCCCTCTACACGTTCTCTTGCCAAATTAAGAAGAGGAGTGGAAGAGATTGTCGCACTCATCTTAACACATGAGTCACTAATATGTCTCGGATGCCGTAATTAGTTACCTTCGCTCATTAATTTGGGCCCTTGAACGGCATTTAAATGCAAACAGGCAAGATAGCTTTGAGGTGCAACACTGACTGATCTGCAGGTCTTGTACCTTTGAGGTCTTCTTGTTGTCGTAACAACATCACAGACGGACGTGCGTTAATGGTCCGCTGTCCTTTGTTAGAAAAACACCAGTCACCCATGTGCTCCTGGGTGCAGCCCGTCACTGTTTTTATTTAAATAATCTTAAAGGTGTATCTGTTGAGATGTGGCTGGCTTTCTTCCCGTCTTGGCCTAATTATTCTTTTAAAGTCATTTACTTCTCCATCATTACCCTGCTTGAATGAGCCAATCCTGAAAGGCCTTGAACCTTTCTCTTCTTCCGCCTTGTCATTTCACTCTCCCCCGAACGTACTCAACCATTAAAGAGTCGCTGCAGTCCGCCACTCATTATTGCTCAGTGCATTTACATTGAATAGGTCATTGGGACCCAACTAAGTGGAACTAATGTGGGACAGAATAGTTGAGGGTTTTGCTTCAGTGTTACACAAACCCTCTGCTCTGTAATAAGGACTCTCTTATTACTGTTAAGTAGGAAGGAGAATACCCCACTGATCCGAGCCATGTCTCGGAAAGAAAAAAAATGTGGGGATGGGGAGTTTGTTTGCTGTTTGCTTTAGGGTTATCTGTTTTATTGTTTGCTCCATATGTCCAAAATAGACCTAGTGTTTATACCACAATAAAAAGAAACCTGTAGTGTAGCTAGTGTTGCATATCTTAGTCTTCTTGTTTATTTTAATGCTATTTTTTTCAGCTGAATTGCTGTGATGCATACAGTCCAGTAATTATTCCGAGACAAGGATGCAGAAGGCATTGCCATATGGTGGACGTCTCTTCTCCATCCTGACGTAGAGAAGACTCAACATCAGGCCACAGGGTCACTTTCTGACATCAGCAGCAGAGCACACCAGTATGGCCAGCGATTACAGCGCCTTGGAAAATAATTCATATCAAACAAACATCGTTGCACTCTTGTCACACTACAACCACAAACTCCAATAGTATTTGAAAGGGATTGTGCATGATAAACCAGTGTAACGCAGGACATGGCTGCGAAGTGAGGAGTTCTTGTAAGAGCAAAATTAGAAGTTTGCACTTCATGCAAAACAGATTGTGAGAACTAGCGCTTCACGTGACCCTGAAGTACTGCACTTTTCAGATTTGCCACTTCTCAAAACCATTTTGCTCCCACTTCGCAATTATGCTCTACTTTGTGTTGGTCCATCACGTAGCATCTAACCGGAACACATTGAAGTTTCTGGTTGTAGCCTGATACAATGTGAAAAAGCTTAAATCATCCAGAGGATTTTGCAAAGCACAATATTACCAAAAAAAAAAACAAAAAAACAGCCTGACCACGGTAGTCTGCGAACTGCACGATCCATCAAATCTTCCAAAGTAAGGCAGCTGTTGTAAATGCGTGAAGAAATACAGCCGCCGCTTTTTCCCGCTGACAATAAAGTCTGCCATCCCACACAACATGTGTCATGTCTCCAGATAAAGTAAACGAGAAGTAATTTTGGATCTTGTTTCTATTTCGTAGGCTCATCTGTGGGTGCGAGCAGGGAGGGAATGATAGCTGATACGTAAACCTCTGGCTCAACGTGGTGGGCGGGAGCACCCGAGCTACTTGACTTTCATTAACACACCGTAGTGGAGCATGTGTGCTTGCCCGTCTTTGTGTTTCTCCCATTTGTAGAGAACAGACACGATCGACTGCTACTATCAATTAAGACCGACTTCCACTTCACGTTACACGGCCGATAAAACGGATCCCTCGGAGTCAGTCAGGTGGTCATTTCTGCGAGCATGGGAGGAAAGGAGTGGGAGGAACTGGTGATAAACAAGGGGGTAGACCTATGTGAATACACTTCGGCTGGCTTTAGCTGTAAGAAGTAAGACAGATCGAATATTGAGTGAGTGAAAGAAGGGCATCACAGCATCAAAGGCACGGTTTGAGAGGCACCAGGAGAGATTAAAGGGAGCCTTGAAGAAATGTGTGAAGGAGACCAAACTGTGGATGTTCTAGCCAAACCGAACAGGCGAAAGCATTCAATACTAAACTCCTCCTCTTCAAAGTCACATCTATCTGAGCACGTTGCTGCTTTTCCACACTTTGGCTGCCAGATCTTGACCTTGAATAGGAAAGCACCGAGAGCACAGGGAGGCAAAGCACCTGCAAGAAGGGGAAGCTGGTCAATTTTTTGAATGATCAGCATCTTCAAAAATCAGAATAATTTCTCCCTTGATTCATTTTCATCAACTTTACACGCCTTAAAAAAAATCTCAGTAGTATTTAATCCGTTATCTGCAACTTTAGTGCACAACCCTGAAATTTTAGCAAATTCCTTTAAAACAAAGTGTTGATATAAAGGACACAATTGCACGTAAACAAAGTTGAGTAGTAACCCAAACCCCTGCTGCTTCTGGCCCAATCAGCCTGCCCTATTCTGGCCCAGCTTGTGTGCCTGCATGCCTGCCTGAGCTTGGCTAGGTTTGAAAAGTCATGCTTGTGGGTGGATGCTACTCATAAATATGTATTTGGCTTAAGCCGAGCAGTCCCACTGCTCTCGACTCCGCTGTGCTCGCCCAAACCTTATGCTCTTCTCAACCGTCAGACATCCGCAAGTTACGGATGCAACTTCCTGGGGCATATTCATGAAAAGCCGAACAAAAGAATGATTGATGCTAGGATTTCTGATACAGGTTGCCGCTACAGGGGGGTTGAATGCTAAGATGGCAACAGGATGTTTGTAGAGACAAAATCCATATTTATTCTGCGGTTCGAACAGCATTTTTTTTTTTTACATCTAGCTTTTAGGCTGTTCTTTCATCCAAACCTAATTTTATCTATCTTCAAATATGACCGAGGCGATTATGATGTTGCTTGACTTTTTCCTTTTTTTTCCTTTTTGCATTTGTTTAAGCTGGTGACACTATCCTGCTTTCTTATAAAGGTATTCTCATGCCAAGTAAAAAATATGTTCACTGAAAAACACTGAAAACAAAAAATGTAAAAAGGAGTTCATTTTATGTTTTCTTTTAGTTACTTTGTGTGACTTTATTGAACAAAGGGTTTTTCTTGTGGTTTTGAATTTAAAATTTTTAATTTCACATTTTCTCTTAAATTATAAAGTCTTTCCTTTTCTAAGAAGAGTTTTTGAATGTTTCCAGGTAGTTTTTGGCGTTAAACAAGATAATAGTTCTCACTATATCAGCAAATTGTAACAGTTTAGATTTCATGAATAGCATATTTGTGTGATTACTCTTATTGCTCATTTTTGCAATGTTATTAATGATTATAGTGAAATTCTAACTTTTTATAACTGCAGAGATCTAAGTTTTATATCTTTGCAGCTCCCCCAGAGTAATCTTAAACCTCTTGGCTGCTTCTCTGAGTAAGTTTTTTCCCAATGAGGTGGTCTTCCACATCTTGGCACTTTTACACTTGTGCCATGCATTTTCCATTGAGGAGTTCTGTGAGGCCTCAGAGGCCTTTACAGAACAGCTGGATTTGTACAGACTACATTTCATACAGATGAACTTCTGAGGGGCCACCACAATAAAAAAAGACTGAATAAAAATATACACAGAGGTCTTGTTGCATTTCACACTTTTAAACTAATGCACAATCCAAAGCAATGTGTATCTACCCGAATAACTCTGTTTATTTGCGAGTCTCAGACATTTTTTTATGAATGGGATGGCAACTGGTTCTCAAAATGTAATGCATTTTGCAAAATCAAAGGCAGATATTTGGGCACTGAATAAAGAAAAAGTTGTTTCGGAAGTATTGTTAGAATGCACGCCCTGTCTCATTGCTCGTTGGGGTAGCATAATGACAATCTGCAGGCTGAATGCCAAACCAGTCCTTTCAATCTTTCCTCTGTAGGGATCGTCCACTCAACTCTGCCAGCCAACTACTGCAGAGCAAAGTGCTGCAGTAACCTTGACAGGACCTGACCTCTTCAATTACAATTGTGATTTCTGGATTCATTGCTGAATTTTTTTATTTTTATTTTTTAAAATTTTCTTAAAACATTGTTACCACAAATTCCAATACAGCTTAAAACATTTAACTAATATTCCTACATCACACCTTTAGTGTTCCTATCATGAGCTTCATGAGTCTCCCTGAAAAACCGAGATGTCATCCTTTAATTCTACGGATAATATCATTCCCTTTCCCACTCGTACGCTAAGGCCCTTCCTCTTCAGGTCTTGCCCAGTGAAAACTGCTGCCCACGGTCGCCTGTCCACCCTGTGCCCCGGCTGTCAGCTTTCCAGGCAGGCTACGTTGACAAGGGGAGGCCACTCGGGCTGTCTGTCATGGGGTTATTCTCGGGGCGGAGACGGTTCAGCTGATTCGCTGACACCGGCTGGTGCGCGCAGGGGCTGGAAGGGCGGGCGTTTGGCGGGGATTTACAACGTGTGTATGTGTGTGCATTTGGCGGGGAGCTACCAGGGGTTAGCCCTGCCAGATGACGGGTATGAGGGAGGCGGGGAAAGTGTAAGAAGGCAAAAAAAAAAAAAAAACCCACACAGAAATGCGAGGCCACGCACCAAAACACACCTAGATCTGTTCACTCATGTTGAAGGACAATAAGGAGGGTTCCAGACCCTTGACGCACAGCTGGAGACAAATGTTCTGAAGAAAAGTATGACAAGGTAACAGGACAAGGTAACTACATTTTAAACGTCTGTTGTAGAGTCAGAAAACAGAGAGCTACTGAAAAAGTTAAATCCCAATGAGCATTTTTATTGGTTCTCGAAATAAATCTAAAATTGAAAACACTTTTCTGACACAAGAATGGTTGTTTGAGTCACACCATCAACATTAGATATGCACCTCCGAACACGCATCACAAGTCACTTCAAGCTCGTCTTTACCAAAGGCTTTAAAATCACAATTTCATTTTTTGACAAAAAAAAGAAATGGATACAGTGACATATTTTGCTTCAAAAATGTATCTGTATAATTATTTGCTATAAAAGTAATGTAGTGAAGAGAACGGATTTTTCCCACATACAACTTTTTGCTCCAGAATTTTTATTAAAAGGGAATCTGTGATGATAGTTCTCTGACTCTTTTATGTAATTATATTGTCTTTCTTCCTTTGGTCCCATCAGACAATGTAAGAAGCATTTTGTTACTCCTCTTCTAGATCATTATTATTATTTTTTTTTTTTTCAGATTCCCCCACATAAAGTTAGGCATGATCAGCTACTGTCCATACGGTATCATGACGCTTTTGTGAATAATGCAAGTTCTACTTCTGCTTTCCTTTTCTTCTGCAGGCCAAACCCATGCCTCTCAAGTTCACATATGTAGCTCCAGTTGTATTGCGCAGCTACATATGTGCATGATTGCATTGTATCCCAGCGCTCGTCTTGTGATGGGACTGGAGAAATGTTTTTTGTTCCTTACCTTTAACTCCTGTTGGGATGTGCTTTAGTCAAACTTTCTTTGATTAGAGCCACAACATTGTTTAAAGTCCAAACTCCAGCAGGCATTTATTCACTGAAAATATGATCTTTGTAAAAACTCTTTATGCAAAGCTTTTTGTCATGTAAACCTCTTGTGGTCTTAGCTTGACATAGGGTATGACTCTGCGCCTTCCTGGTTCAGCTAATGGGAACCTATGAATATGCTAATCTGGCCCCACTAACACCTCCACCTGCCAGCAGTTCTGGACAGTTTCCTTTGGCTCTGCAACGCTGCCTCTGCAGTGAAGCTGGTTTCCTCTCCTCCCCTTTCACGAAACAGGAGATTCTAAATCAGTGATAAAATGTAAAATATTGTATATTTTTGTATTTTAATTCAGGACTGGAGGCCACTACAGTCGGAATTGGGATTCTCTAATTATTTAATTAGACTATGTTTGCATTTAAAATTGTTTTTTTTAAAAACCCTGTAAATAAAGGATACTGAGTCAGACAATATGAAACAACATTCAGGTAAAATACAAAGTTTTACTTTATTTGAAACTTTTTCAAATTTATTTCAACTATGCATGCCTGAATGTGGCAAGGGAAACCGAACCACCTTAAGGAAATCACTGACTTAACAGTGGTCAGATCATTTTGGATATCTGTTCCCCCCCTTATGATGCAACGGAAAGCCCATGTTCCATTTTCCCATTATATTTTCCGGGTATAATGTGCCAGTATATTTTTTTTCCACTGTGTTGTTTTAGATTTTATGAGTGTAATACTCTACCCCCGGTGAAAATGCATTTTCTGTGTGTTAGATTGGGATAATCCCTTGATCTCCGTAAGAAGGTTTCAGCAACATGCCAATGCTGACTTTAGCCACAGGAGCCAGGGCGACCCAGGCGCCAAGGGAACCCCACTCCACTCATGCGGTGCCAGCACTTAAACAAACGGCGTCGGCTTTCAAAGACAAAAAGGGAGACGTGGTTCCACTGGACTCCAGGTCATGAACGTAGGTTTTCATAAGTCAGTTAGTAAAGACATACACACATCTCCCAACACAGAAATATTCTCAGGTGGCTGTTCGGGATGAAGGTCTGCTAGATTTGTTAAGCCCCGTTAACTTGCATGACTTTTTTTTTTTTTCATACTCCATCAAACACTAACGTAGGTTAATTGAGATTTGGTGTGACTGACCAACATGTCATGCATCTCATTTGATCAGTGCATTTTCTTTTAAATGTTCGCTGTGTCACTTGAGTGACTTGTGGAAATGTCCTTTCAACAATGGCTTTGTCCTTGTCACTCGTCCATAAAAGCTAGATTTCTTAAGCGTCAACAGAAACGCTCACCTGAGAAGCAGATCTACGCATCTCCTCCAGAGTGAGCGAGCGCCACACTCTTCTGCAGACAGTCTCCTCTCAGTCCTTCACAACACAGTTGTATTTGTACTCAGATTAAATTACACACACATTTTTTTTTAAATGTAATATTTGTTTGGAAAATATCAAAATTAATTGCTACAATTTCCATATCTCACATCTTGCTTTGAAGGAGACGCGTGCGCCAGCGGTATTTGATCATTCCTGAGCTCTCGCGCTCGGGATCATTGTCTCTCTTCTTACCTTGGACCTCTATTATCATCTAGAGAGCTTCTCAAACGTATTTTAGATAAATGACAATTGACTCCTTTTTTTCTGTAATAGAAACAGCATCCTGAAACTGCAAATGAGACAGAGTTCA